GGAAACACCTCTGATAAAGAAATCAATCACGGTTTCAGATAATTTTCTTGCCACTTTTGTGATCCTGGTTCCTCTGAGAATGTGGCAATCATTTCTTGATTTAACCGTGTTTGATCGTTTTTCTTTTTTTCGACCTATTGACCTATTAAAGCATGGTTTCTGTCACTGATCAACGATTCAGATTCAGCCTGCGAGCGCCAAGGCAGCAGTGACTCTGCAAAGGACTCTCCATTTACCGATTCCCTGCCGCAGGTCACATCGGTCACATCATCAAACATCATCAAACCGCGACACATGCAGCTCTGAGCTGCAGACTCTTGTGGCAAATCCAACCAAGGAAGTTCACCTTCCAAGCGACAACACTCGACCAAGACGCAGAAATGTCCGAGGAAATGTCCGATGAAACATCACGAAGATCAGCTTAGAATTGCAACCGATTGCAATGATGTCTTGGCATTGGAAATGGACATAGTTTGCCATGGCTGCCAGGCCTTCATAGGGTTCATTCATCTGCTTTGGATGCAACCCAGTAGAAGGGATGGAAATTTGTGATCTTGTCACTTTCTGAATCCAGGTAAAATTGAGGGAATGTTTGACAATTTGGGGACTCATTGGATGTGTATTGAAACGTTTCTGGCATGGCCGTCAAGCGGATCGGCCTCCATCTTGATTACTTTCCGAGCAAATTTCACCAAAATTTGAAGCGTTTTTCTGTCGATGTTTCAAATTATTTTCCAAATCTGCTGCAATGCCATGCTCAAGACAGCTGAGTCGGACCAAGGAAATTGAAACACACGCGCTTTGCCACAATTTCCCTTTGGCCATCCTTTGGCCATCCACTCGTTGCGACTGGTCAGCACCAATAGGAACAGACATAACAATGGCAAGTGTCTAATACAAAAACGGCAAAAACGCCAACACAACGTCTATTTTCCACACATGGTGCGATTTCATGCTCGTTGATGGCATCGCCCACATCGCCGGCCTCAGCTGACGGGGTCCCAGCTGAATCCAAACCATTTGAAGATGCTCTAAGGGGTTGCACTTTAAAATACACACATGGAACAATGAAGATTTGGTGAGTCCGATTTCTTATGTTTCTTCAAGTTTCTTCATGCCGAATAAGTGGTTCTTTTTTGTCACTCCCGTTGATTACGGACATGTGGCATGATGGGGCATGGAAAAAACCTCAGAATGACTCATGACCATGTTTCGCATCCGAAGCCTCATGTTTGATATATTTTTCTGAGAGCTATGCCAAAGGCGGATATTTTTTCAATGATCCAATTTTTGACATTATATATCGAAAACAACACGCCAACAGATTTTCGGATGTGTCGGCGTTTTCTGATTTTATTTTATAAGTGCATACTTTTGTCTCCAACGCCGCCACCTTCCAAGCTAAGAAACTAAGCGAAGACAGCCTAGTTTGCCATCACAGGATAAAGCAAGAGCTCCAAACCTGGCAGCAAAAAATACAACTGCCACCCGCAGCTTCAAACTTTCCTCTAGCGTTCCAGTAAACCAGGCCATCCCCATGAAGGTTGCCAGCGAGACTGATCATCATCGGAATAAGGATTGACAATCAGTCTCGCTGGCATCATTGTAATAGGATAACTAGGATAACCATGATAAAACGATACAAAACGTGACGAAACATGTGGTGCCTTTCCTTCTCTATTGCAAAGACATTGCAAAGACATTGTGGCAGTGATATGTCAGACTAGCGCAACATGACCTACAAAATATGCACCCTCACTTTCAAACTAACCCCCCGGATGCCACAATGAAGCATTAAAATTCCGTTGAACCATGTTGAACCGTTAAACCCCCATCATTTCTCAGATTCGCAATGGACATGCAATCGATCCCTCTGGAAAAAATGCCCCTGCAACGGGCCTGCCACCCATTCCCTCTGTCTCTGTGACCCTGCGTCTTCAGCATCGATAGGAACGAGAGCCTATTTTTCATTATTTTTTCCACAGCGTGTATCGCTGTCATTAGTCTTGCATTGTGTCGCACGGTTTTTTCACCAACCAACCCAACTTCCCCCAAACATCCTGAGATTCCAGACGTTCGGCAGCAAGATCTTTCGGATATCTTGGGATATCTTGGGATTCTTCTCCAAGTAACTGTATCGGCTCAATCCTGCAGACAGGTCGAGGATCATGTTTATTTCATGTCATGGTCTGAAGATCGTGAAGACATGTGAAGGCCAAATTGCCGAACTACACTTAGGAAACTTGTGCAACACATGCAAAAGGCCATGCAACTGCATCTGCAACGTGTTTTTGGCGAAACTCCACCTGCTTCATCTCAGCGCGGAGCATTGCTCAGAAGATCTCAGAAGGATCTTTGAATTAGACATGAGTGACATCAGATTCAATCGTGTTAATTATTCGTATTGAAACATGAACAACTTCAAATCAACCAAATCAGCAGATATCAGCAGTCTTTGCCGCTGAGTGCCCGTGGCATCTCCTCTGTACGTCTGCGCTTCTGCGGATGTTTCACAGCGTTCAATTCCATCATGGCAGGCCGAATCAGTTCCAACATGTGCTGTTCCCGCGCCACGACCTCCTTAGGTCGCCTCAGGCAGATGGCCTTGCCGTGGGATTTGTCGGACCCCTGGGACCTGTCGTGATCAAAGACTCGTAGCTTCACCGCTTCACCCAGAAGGACCTCAGTCTGCGCCGTGTCGGGTCCAGGCTCCACGGGCTCCACGGGCTCCAGAGTCAGCCGATGCTTTTCATCAAACCTCTTCCCAGCTCTGGCAGCAAAACACGTGTTGTATTCCCACCAGGCCAGTTGCTTACAACGAGTTGTCTCTAAATGGATGGCTTCCCAGAAGTGGATGGTACCAACTTGAACTTCATCTGTCGTAACCAGAAACTTTGCTGCCATGGCCTCTTCGGGAACCAGCATCACTGCGCCATTGCCTTTCAACGAAAAAAACATACCGCTGCTCACCTCTTCAATGACTACTAAATCACCATGTGTCAGGGCATTCGAATCACTCTGGCGAAAAGAAACGCCCAACCAAGTGCAGAGTTCCTTGGCACGGCGAAGGAGAGTGGCTCGATCTTCTTTCAATCCTCCGAGTCGGTAGTTTTTGAACACCAGCATCTCCCGAAGCCGTTTCAGAATGAAGTCGGGAGTCCAATGCAACATGGGACCACCCAGGTCATCATTGATCGCTGAATATGGTCGGTGGGCATATGAAAAGAATTTCTTTTGAAACTCACACAACTGGAACTGGATATCGTGTAACTCAAGCTCTTTGGGATCACCCTGAAAATAATCGGTGGCAAAGCTTTGGAGCGCCTGCATCATTGCCAGGGTTTCAGTTGGGTGGATGGATTGACGGCCGAAGACCAGTTCCAAACCCCTGATGGAGCCAGGCCCCACGGGGCAAAACGATGAATGATCCATCACTGAATTTCTGCCGCCAGGGAAGACTGGGGTATCCACCAAGTCTTGAATCAACTCCTTGGCGAAGAAACCTGCTGTGCGCTGACGACCACTTCCACCACTTCCAAAGAAAGGAACGGATTTCAACACCTCTCCAACTCTTTCCATGCTGGTACGTCCAGTTTCGTCAGCCTTTGCAGCCTCAACCAGTTGAGGGCAAATTTCCCAGAGCGCATCAAGAACTTTGAATTTCCCAACCAATGAGAGGTCAAACACGGCAAGGCCTTTCAAAACTGGCTTTCCCGTATTGTAGAGCACCATGTTGAGCGTGTCATTGTTTGCTCGTGGATTTGCTAGGGCAGCTCGCATCTTGCGAGGCCAGCTGTACGCATTGGCAATCAAAGTCGGGATTCGCTTCTCACAGAAAGCTCTCTGAATGATAGATCGAATCAATCCCTTTTCTTTTTCCCCCCAGCCAGTCAAGAAACCGAGTTCGCCAGCAAAGGCTATTGTTCCACCAATGAGTCTCCAAACGGCAAAGTTCATCACAATCTGTCGCTTCAACATGTCTTTGTCGGAAGAGAGCTGCCAGCGCCTCTCAGCTGCACACAAGGCGTGCAACCCTCGTGTCGTCCCATCGTGGGCACGATGAACATTTGTACATCTGCAACATCGAAGGTAATCTGCGAATTCACCTGTCAACTTGTCGTAGAGGTGTCGGCCATGCTGCCCAGCAGCTCGACCCTTTCGAATCGCTTCCCTGTTGTTGAGGAGGCTGTAAAAGCGCTCCACATTTTCACGACTGAGAGCCTTCTTGGCTGACTGAATCGTTGTCAACAGCACCGGCTGACCTTCGGGCGTCTGCACAGGCGCCGCAGGTCTTTTCATAGCCATTGGGCACATGGCTGGATCACAACTAGGACCACTTTACGTCACATTGGCATGGCGGTTGTCTTTTAACCCCAAGTCTCAAACGTTTCAAACATGTCGCAATCCGACCAGCACTGAAAGCACTGAATTCAACTGGTCATTCACTTCCATTCCAGAATCGGTTTTTGATGGTTTTTGGTGCCTGTCAATACCGAATTTCGACCCTGTGCACACCGACATTCCACACATTGGACATCTCGGACCCTGGTGAGGCGTGCACCGCACTCCTTCATGGAATTGAGGAGCAAACTGCTGGCAGCCTCAGAATCTTCACATCGCTGAGACGCCTGCCGAAGGTGCAGCTATTCATGTCACTCGTCTGACATATTTCGATATCATATGAATCATAGCAGAGAAGCATGGAGTTTCTCATAGGCATACAGGCACACAGGGCACAAGAGGCACACCGTGCACACCTGAAAAGAAAACCAGTAAAACATTCTCATGGTAGATTGCATGCAACTTAGGTTCATAAGAGATGGCAAGGGATTGAAAGTTTCTGTCAAACAGCGCCAGACCTGTTGGTGGAGTGGATCATCATTGAGTGGTTGTAACGGTTGTAACTTGGTAGGAGCAAGCACACTGAAAAATCCAGAAGCAAGCGACATGGGAAGTTCATGGCACACTTTGGCCACCTCAAAGCGTCACAATCTGTCACAGTCTTAAACGGGCAACCAAAACATGCATCGGAATGCAATCTCTTGCACGGTCTACCTTTGTAGCAAAAATCTCAGCAAAGCACGTTGCCAATATCCAAATGCCATCAACATCAAAGCGACCACATCCGTCCTAGAGAACACTCTCCATATTGAACGATGTGCAGCACGATGTGCAAGCATCAACATGAGCCTGAAGTATACCGACATATATCGACTGCATTCATAAATTCAGGTGATTAGTTCAGATTTAAGGTATTTAAATGTATTTAAGATATTTAAGTCTGTGCTCTACTATATATACTATGGAACTCAACACTGATTTGATCTGTGACAATTTGTAAAACTCAAAAACTCCACACAAACAAAGAAGTCATCTCTGCCACTGTGAGAGAAAGCGCAGCCAGCTGTCACTCCACTCGTGAAACATCGTCCCAGACCTGGATCTGCTTGGATCTCGTGCAGCCTCAAGCGATGGAAGCCTCAAATTACATGAACTCCTGGATTTCCATGTTTGACATGGGTTCAACGGGTGCAAGTTGTAAGGCACATTCAAACAGATTAAAGCACATTAAAATCATTAAAGTTGTTGCGTTGATTCAAAGGTTTTGGCTACAGGTTTGTTGCACCCGTACTTCGTAATTCGGCGGTTTCCTGCCACGAATGAAATCAGTGGGATCTGAAGCCAGGAACCTTCCCAGCCATCCGCACTGAGACTTGGTGCCGAGCACACCCGAGCTCGAGAAAGGCGAGAAAGGCAGGTTGTCTCCTGGCGCGATCTGTTGCACTGGCGATGTGTAGAACTTGGAATGTACACTGCAAATCAATATGAATCAATGGGATGCACTGCACAACTGTGTCGCACGACTGTGTATCACTGTGTGCAAGTTGCCAAGGCACGTCTGCTCTGCACCATGCCAGGCTGACATCGTGCGGTGTCATCTGCATGGCCAATTTGTCGAAAACATTCGAAAACTATGTCAAACCAACAAGACTCTCTGACAGAAATGCCATGAAATGCCCAATTCTTATGGGAATTGAATTGGATCATGATTTGAGTGCATCTTCAAAACCTGAGATCCCATATGATCCCATTATACTGCTCGTTTTTTGGGTTCTCAAAATGGATGATCAACCCCAATAAATTGGATGGTCTGACCACCAGGGGTTTTGAAAACATTGAAAACTGCTAATGTTGTTTGCAGCATGCTGTTGGATTTTGACTGGCCTGCCAAGCCTGTTTCCACAACGCACCTGCAAACCGGATCCAAATGCCGAAATGTTGCAAGTATCATGTATCCACTAGACAAGGAACTGACACACGAATAGTGAAGAGCTAAGTAGTGCCATGTTTGGGTGATGTCACATTCAATGCAAGGTGGAAAAATGAAGGAATCGGAGGTGACTGCTCCATGCTCAACCCTCCTGAAGCGGTGCGAAGTCTATGAGGAGACTTGAACAAGCTATGGCTCACAGCTTTACAGTTGCCCACAAAGTCCACATACCCAACACACAACCTGAGAAACCCAACACATAAAGAGCATCCGTGCCGCGAACTTCTTAAGGTCCATGGTCAACATCAAAACGCTCCCAATCACTCCGCTGCAGATACCTACCTCACCAGCACGAAACAATGAGAGTTCGGAGTTTCGGTGAGAGCAAGCGGGTTTTGCTTGATTTGTCTGAACACAAGATGCAAACAGGTTGCTGCAAACATGCTCATGCTGGCGCATCGTGCGGCCATTTTACTGCAGAAATGACCCAACGTTGGTGCTGAATTTGTCATAATTTGTCTGAAAGGTCTTCCAGGACTTTGCGAATTTCCTTGAGTTCTCCCTCCAGTTTTCCTTGCGCATCTTTGACATCTTTCAGCTCTCCTTTGACGTCCTTCAGCTCTCCTTGTAGCATTTTATGAGTTCTCTTCGGAATCATTGCAACTGCTCCTTGCCAATCTGCTGTATCGGAGCCATGAGCTGGGTGAAGGATCATCAAGAAGCCACACATGCAGAGTTTTCCGTAGGCTCGTTCCAGTTCGGCAATCCGGGCTGCCCTTGCGCGATTCAGACGTGATACCATGTTTTCATTGACTCGATCGTAAGTGTCAGAGATTACAGCAATGAGTAAGTTCAGCATGGAGACGGTGATGGACACTGTGATCAAAATGAAGAAAAGGTAAAGCATATGATGCTGTTCTAGGTCTGAGCCATCCACATGATAATCGTCGACATCAAAGTCACCCATGATGCCCATGCGGTATACCCGCTGGAGCTGATTCCAAGTGTCTCTGTTGTGGGCTGCCAAAGAGAATGCGTGGCCAAGTCCAAGAATCACAACTAAAAGGACTACAGAGAAACTTCGCATATCTTTGATGACTTCCCACAGCATGCCAACATAGGCCCCGGTTGTGTCCAGCCCACCAAGAAAGTACAGAAAATAGAGCCAGGACCAGCATGCGACAATGGGCTGCAACGGCAGCAACTCTTGGAACCAAACGTTCACAATGACAAGGATTGGCATGGTCATCGCTGTAAAGGACCAAGAAAGAAACAACTTCATTGCCTTGTTGAATGCTATAATTGCCATGTTGTGCAACTTGTGAAGTTTTGCCAAGTGGTTAGATCCTTGAACTGTTTTGGCTCGCCGCCCTGTGCGATCATCAGCCACTGCATACAGTGCATACAGCTCACGCGCCACTGCATACAGCTCTCTGCACTCACGGAGGACAATCAAAAGCGCCAAACTCGTGACTGCCAGTTTCGGTCCCCACACTTGGGCTGGAAAGCAAGAGGAATCTGCTCCATCTGCTGCATCTTCACCGCTCACATCAGTTTCATTTCCATCATCCACATCGATGCAAGTGCTCAAAGCATCAATGCCCTGCACTGTGACCCACATGTACAGAAACTGGAAAAGAGCGTACACAATGCATTCACAGTAGTAATACCATTTCCATGTTTGCCACTTGAATTGTATTGCGGCCATGATGGGAGTGCACGAGAATACGGCCACGGCATCGGGGATATCCTGCTCGCACAGCTGTGCCAGAAAGTCGCTCGAAAGAATTTGCGGCAGGACAAAAATATCTGCTGCCAGTTCGATATTGTATCCGGCATCCGTGGGCAATTGGGATTCTTCAAAGCCTTGTGGCCACCAAATGGTTTCAGAGACGAGCGGGTGCAACTGGATGGCTGCATTGCCCTGGTTTAGCACAGGCTGCCCATTGGGTTTGTAAGGATTTTTTTCCGCTGGCAAAACGAAGAGTTTCAGCAGATCGCTCAGTGGATCGCTCAAGCTGCCAAGCTCCTGGCTTGAGAGCAATTTGGCAATGGCACTGCTGGCACTGATCAAGTACTTACACCTTGTCTGGTAGCTCAGCGAGTTCTGCTCACCTTCGTCGCAAGAACTCAAATAACTCAAGGCGTCTTTGTTGACGTATGCAGTCAACCACTGCGCATTCCCACTTTCAATTGCCAGGCTCATGGGACTCATTCCTTCAGCATCTACACTGCACACAAGCTCCCAAAGGTCCCCAGGTTTCTGCCGTTTCCCTTCCACAAGTTCCTGCAACTCCTCCTTGAGTGGGAGCATTGGGACGTTCCAGCCTTTGAGGCGGAAGAACCGACAATAGCAAAGGACTCCGAACAGAGTCACATTCAGCCTGCCTTTAAACAAGATTCTGTCGAGGATTTCATCGCGAACACCAATGGACTGCCAATCAAAAGACCTCCAAAAGCTAGATGTGTAAGACAGCGGTTGTTGCCAGCAGGACCAGATGCGACAGGTTTTGTCCCTGGAGGCCGTGGCCACCCTTTTCCCATCTGGGCTCCAAGCCACTCCGATGACCGCATGGCCATGCTCAAACTTTGCATCCTCTACCTGGGACTCCACATCAAAGATGCGACAGGTTTTGTCCCTGGAGGCCGTGGCCACCTTTTTCCCATCTGGGCTCCAAGCCACTGACCTGACCTCATCACCATCCTCAAACTTTGCATCCTCTCTCTGGGACTCCACATCAAAGATGCGACAGGTGTTGTCGTAAGAGGCCGTGGCCACCTTCTTCCCATCTGGGCTCCAAGCCACTGAGTAGACCCAATCGCCATGCTCAAACTTTGCATCCTCTATCTGGGACTCCACATCAAAGATGCGGCAGGCGTTGTCGTGAGAGGCCGTGGCCACCTTTTTCCCATCTGGGCTCCAAGCCACTGAGTAGACCCAATCCCCATGCTCAAACTTTGCATCCTCTATCTGGGACTCCACATCAAAGATGAGACAGGTGTTGTCCTCAGAGGCCGTGGCCACCTTTTTCCCATCTGGGCTCCAAGCCACTGACCAGACCGTATCCCAATGCTCAAACTTTGCATCCTCTCTCTCAGACTCCACATCAAAGATGCGACAGATTTTGTCCCTGGAGGCCGTGGCCACCTTCTTCCCATCTGGGCTCCAAGCCACCGAGTAGACCCAATCGCCATGCTCAAACTTTGCATCCTCTCTCTCAGACTCCACATCAAAGATGCGACAGGTGTTGTCCCTGGAGGCCGTGGCCACCTTTTTCCCATCTGGGCTCCAAGCAACTGAGTAGACCCAATCGCCATGCTCAAACTTTGCATCCTCTATCTGGGCCTCCACATCAAAGATGCGACAGGTTTTGTCCTTGGAGGTCGTGGCCACCTTTTTCCAATCTGGGCTCCAAGCCACTGACTTGACCAGACCGCCATGCTCAAACTTTGCATCCTCTCTCTGGGACTCCACATCAAAGATGCGACAGGTTTTGTCCTCAGAGGCCGTGGCCACCCTTTTCCCATCTGGCCTCCAAGCCACTGACCAGACCGTATCCCGATGCTCAAACTTTGCATCCTCTCTCTGGGACTCCACATCAAAGATGCGACAGGTTGTGTCCTTGGAGGCCGTGGCCACCTTTTTCCCATCTGGGCTCCAAGCCAGTCCGATGACCGCATGGCCATGCTCAAACTTTGCATCCTCTCTCTGGGACTCCACATCAAAGATGCAACAGGTTCTGTCGTTAGAGGCCGTGGCCACCTTCTTCCCATCTGGGCTCCAAGCCACTGACCTGACCTCATCACCATGCTCAAACTTTGTATCCTCTCTCTGGGACTCCACATCAAAGATGCGACAGGTGTTGTCCCTGGAGGCCGTGGCCACCTTTTTCCCATCTGGGCTCCAAGCCACTGAGTTGACCAGACCGCCATGCTCAAACTTTGCATCCTCTCTCTGGGACTCCACGTCAAAGATGCGACAGGTTTTGTCCTTGGAGGCCGTGGCCACCTTTTTCCCATCTGGGCTCCAAGCCACTGAGTTGACCAGACCGCCATGCTCAAACGTTGCATCCTCTCTCTGGGACTCCACATCAAAGATGCGACAGGTTTTGTCCTTGGAGGCCGTGGCCACCTTTTTCCCATCTGGGCTCCAAGCCACTGAGTTGACCAGACCGCCATGCTCAAACTTTGCATCCTCTCTCTGGGACTCCACATCAAAGATGCGACAGGTCTTGTCCTCAGAGGCCGTGGCCACCTTTTTCCCATCTGGGCTCCAAGCCACTGAGTCGACCCTATCGCCATGCTCGAACTTTACATCCTCCTGCAGCGACTGCAAAAGAAGTTGGATCCGTTCAAACTTCGCCGCTGGATCTTCGCCCGGCGGCGGCGGGTGATCTTTGCCCGGCGGCGGCTCATGGCCTTCAGGTGCTGGGACGATCTTGGAGAACGAGGGTTTCCTCCGCATCTTTTTCACAGGGTGAAACCGTGTTGTTTTGGCCAGAAATCTGCAGGGCAAGGCGAGAATTTTAATCGAAGAACATGAAGTGTATGGCTTTACTGCAAATGAATGTGGTCTTGATGTCTTCTTTCTTCGTAGGTTTGCTTGGTCCGTTGGTCGAATTTCTGTTGTCAACTTGTCAAAAGGATGGAAAGAAAATGAGAAATCTCAGATGAATCTCGGAGGGTCAGTCATCCACACTCTACATGGTGATTCCCAAACATTGGCCACTGGATTTTTGCAAAGGCAACTATGATAACTATGTCAATTCTTGGCCCCGTACCGCCGTACCATGTACTTGCTTTTCTCCAGCTGCGAAATGTGGGACATGCTGAAGTTCTGCGGGTTGAATTGGATCACCTGTGTACTATGCAGCATCTTTGAAGAGACGTCGTTCATGGTAATTCACATGCAAAGTGGGTCACACTGTGGCAGTTGAAACTAAGTTCGACACTTTTCTGCTTTGCCATGTCCGCTGGCGCATGTGAAGTTCAAACTTCCGTTGGGTTCAAATGGTGTCCTTGAAATTTGTTTCAAGTTGCATCTCTTGACATCTCAAGTCAGGTGATCAACCGCATCTTCTGAGTCCTAAGACATCTTGTCTCCAACCCGGACGTTCGCCCACCACTTAACTCTTCATGAGGGATCACCCACCCCCCGTCTGTACAATATTTTGAAGCGGATATTAGTTTCAACTTGTCTTCATAAGGGATCAAATCCGCCAACCCCTCTGAAAAATATATTGAATGGAGATGCACATTAATACATACGTAATATGAAAATACACAACCCTTCCACAACTTTAGCGGGCAAAGGCAGGGCTGCAGCGGACATCTTATGTTCAGTCTACTGCCAACCTGAATAGAATCAAAACGGTTTGTGCTAAGAAGTTCCATGCGACTGCAGTCAGGACGTTTTCAAAGTCTCAAGACATCTTCCTGCGTTGCCATGATTCTCCTTCACCTTGCAACGTCTGTAGGAGTACAACTGCAAACTTGCAAACTAGGTAACTAGGGGCCAGTCGGTCAGGTGCAAAAGATTGGAAGTTTGCAAATCAAATGAGTTTCTGCCACCGTGATAGTATCTGTCCAGTCTCAAGGTCAAAGTGACTCACAAAACAATCAAAACAGCTCTGCAAATCTCCACAGTTTCTGCTTTTTTTCAGGGGAAAATTTGCATCATCAGCTCACGCGGCAGGCCCCGTGTACAGAGACCTGGCGATCACAAGCTGAATCTCCATCGGTGATTGAACATCTCCACTCCAAACAAAACAAACGCCAAGTCAAGCCCAAACCTCTCGTAGTTGCCACTCAATATTTGGCCAATTTAATTGACCATCTATCGAGAACAACCATGAACGACCCTCATTTTCCATCAATTTGTGGAATAAAGAAGGATACGACAAAACTCCAACAGAGTTCATTACACAAAAATGATCAGCAAGATTGGGGTTTTCATGGTTTTTTTCCCCACGTGTTTTCCATGATTTGGGGCTTTTCCCCACATGTTTTCCATGATTTGGGCATTTTCCCATGGTTTTCCCAGGGTTTTCCCAACCTTTCCCGCCAGGCCTGGTGGTCATCACCTGCACCGCTGAGTCCCCCGCCAGGCCGTAGCGCTGCAGCGGCAGCGGATCGCGGAGTTCCACGGGGCCCGCGAAGAGCTTCATGCAGAGGTAAGGGATGCCCACCTGGAACAAATTCATGGGAAAAATTGATGGGAAAAACCGTGGGAAATGTCCCATGGATATCCCAAGTATAGTGGATATATATAACCTCAACATGGGATTTTTGGGAGATTCTTGTAGATGATTGGAAAAATGGAGATTAAACAAGTTCTGGAAAGAACGCTTCAAATGTTGGATCTGGAAAGAAAAAACATGTCTAAAAAACATACATGGGAGATGAAGGGAGATGAAGGGAGATGCAGGGAGATGAAGGGAGATGAAGGGAGATGAAATATGGCAATTTGGGATGGAAAAATCGGATGGAATTGGCAAGTTCTTCTGGGATCCTTTGGGGCTCTGTCTCCAGTGTTTCTTTATGCGGGATGGGGCACGGCATAGGATGATGTCGTCATATGCCGAATCAATTGTGCAGTCCATTGCAAGCTTGTTTATCCAGAGCTTACACTGGTGATCAAGACTGAGAACTTCAGCAGAGTAATCCAGTAGTCCAATCATAGTCCGATCATAGTCCCATCACTTCAAGTATAATTCAATCATTGTTGTGTCCGCTTATCATAATCCGAATCCATCCAAATCCTATAGTCCACTTATAAACATATATTATAATCATATTTCACGAAGTTCAACAAATTCTGGACGCAATCTGATCACAGGCTGATCACAAGGCACCTCAGAGGTGATTCGTCCTTTCAACTGGGCCACAGTGGTTTCAGCTGTGACGTGCTCCTGGCCACGAGGCATTCGACGCGACAGGCATTCGACAGAGCCAAGTTGGGATGGCGATGCCATGCGATGCGATGCGGCTGTGCTCTGGCCTTGATGTGGCCTCCACTTGGAAGTCGGCACCTGGATCCAACATGGATTTTCAATGGCTTACAACATGATTGACATGGAATATCCATCAATGAATCATCGATGAATCAAATATAAAATCCTGCACCTTTGATTTATTCATACATTTCATACATCTTAATCATCTCTGTATCATTGACTCATGAATCAAATATCCCTGCCACTGGGGCACTGGCTCCAGATCAAAAGATCTCCAGGGCGCTCCGCCCAAATGGATCAGTGGACCACCAGGACAGTGGTCGGGGACCTCAGGTGAACATCTGACAGCAATCTGCCACTGGCAGACGTCAGGTGTTTCAAACTTAGGGTTTTCCATGGTTTGACCCCAAAACCATTGGGGAAGCTCATGAAATCGCCACTAAAATCACTAAATGTTAGGGTTTGGGGCTCCCGATGTTCCTATATTTCAAGAACCCCATGGCAAGCATAATTTGCCGTTGGAAACTCGGGAGCCGGCGATGTTGTACTCCAGCAGGGTGGCATCTTCGTCTGCCAGCTCTACACCGTTGTAAAAAAGGGGCTCGTCAGCCTGTCAGATTCCCTGCTGGGGATGGAATCTGGCTAACTGTTTCACTTCATGTTTCATAGCAAGGATGTTTCATTGAGATTCAAGGGTATATTGGGCAAGATTTAGATATCTCCAAAGATATCTCTATAGATATCGCCATAGATCCTTTTGCTATATAGATTTTATGAACTATGGGATGGACATGAAAGTCATATTATGACCTTTCGGCATCCCCTTTTTTCCGACGGAAACGCATCATCAAGGGCACCTCGGCAACTCTTGCCTTAATGTCCTGCTTGACCTCACGAATGGAGTCGGTCTCCTGGTCAGCACTTGACGATTGAGGAACAAGATAAATAGATACACTACTTGCTAAGTACGAACATCTGATGATCCCAGAATTGATATAGGTTGACACAGTCCTATAATGTCCTATATACATTCCGCATCATTTTACCGTGACACATATTTCTCATCTCTGCCCCACAGCCCATCGGTCAGCATCTCCTCAACCGTGATGATCAGGACGTTTTGCTGATATCTTCGATGTCTCGGCTCAGTGGAGATGCCTAAAACGGGCAGAGCGTGTCGGCGCGTCTCGTCGCGCTGGGTTTGGTGATGCCGTATGATTTCTGTGTGAAGAATCGCCATGGAGAGTCTCTGACCAAACACCTTTTCAGCTTTGGAAGCCACACGTTTCACAAAATCATGTGGGGGTTGTCCAAAATACCTTTTCCCGGACAGCCCTCAATTGCTCAGCTAATCGCGTAGCAACCGCGGTACCACAGTGAGCAATCGCGGAAGGGTTTGTTCTTCGTTGATCAGATCATATACGTAAAATATGAGTTATGTATTATATAATGAATCGTGACAAAAATCTTATGCTGATTCTTTGTAATATCATTGCTTTTCTGCTGAATTTGAAACATGTTTGCCGTCTCAGCAGTAGCAGCGGGTGTGGTGGTAGTACTAAGAGTAGTAGCAAGTCTAGTAATGAGAGTAAGGATCCATGCGTGAACGCATTCGATTTCAAATTTGGGAGCAAAATAAGCTTGCGCGGTCCGGAAACGGTCCGGAAAACTCACAGTAGTACCAGTACTAGTAGTACTAGTAGTACTAGTAGTACTAGTAGTACTAGTAGTAATAGTTGTAGTAGTTGTTGTAGTAGTAGTAGTAGAAGTAGTAGAAGTAGAAGAAGTAGTAGTAGATTAGTAGTAGTAGATTAGTAGTAGTAGATTAGTAGTAGTAGTAGTAGTAGTAGGTAGTAATAGTAGTAATAGTAGTAGTAGGTAGTAGTAGGTAGTAGTAGGTAGTAGTAGGTAGTAGTAGGTAGTAGTAGGTAGTAGTAGGTAGTAGTAGGTAGTAGTAGGTAGTAGTATGTAGTAGTAGGTAGTAGTAGGTAGTAGTAGGTAGTAGTAGGTAGTAGTAGGTAGTAGTAGGTAGTAGTAGGTAGTAGTAGGTAGTAGTAGGTAGTAGTAGGTAGTAGTAGGTAGTAGTAGGTAGTAGTA